AGAGAGAGATCTTTATATATATATATTATATATATATATATATATATATATATATATATATATATAAATATATCTATGAACATGTAATCTACATAAAGAGATCACTTGACATCATACTATCCTGGAATTCTGCGACCTAGGAATCATTTCCTGATCAAATAGTATGGAAAGCATGCAAGGAAGAATTCCGCTGCGCCTCCTGCTATTCTTTCTTCCGCATTTTCATGGGCATCACTCTGCCTTGAACCTCTCTCGGCTACTGACCCTTCGTATGACTCTGATAAAAAAGAAATGAAAAACATGGCCGCTTCGATTCACTTTTACCAGCCACTTCATGCCCTTTCCTCTTCTGTCGAATCATCCTTCTAACCGGCCCTGCAAAATGGCTGGATTAATTGGCAGGATTTTCTTTATTTGTGCTGATTTGGAGAAGAAAAAAAACGACTATGAATCCCGAAATGATTACATCTGGGCTTGGTCGTAGTACCATGATTCGCTGTTATCAATATTTTATACACACTTTTCTCTACGTCTTCTCAAACAAAACAATATGACTGGGTATTCTGCAGATACATAGTAAATGTTCAGGATGTACAAATATTTTACATATCTATCTATGTTATTTTTTAATCCTGATATTTCTATCACGTAAAGAAAATGATCTTGATATTAATAACCGATGACAGTATTCACAAAGAGACAATAAAACGCTTATAATGCAATCTATACAGACCAGAATGAGAGTTGGAGTTCCACCAATGTCTGGGCGCGACGTGAGAGTGGTTGTAATGAGTTTGTACAGAGCGGATGCGCTGGTTGTACTTCGAGTGGTATTCTGCGTAATGGCAAGCGCATGTGAGGATATGGCGGGGATTCTAATCATATTCCGTTGCTAAGATGAGGCCAAGTTTCCAGTCGAGATAGAGCACATATACTTAGCAACACATACGAGTATACGTAGAGGATTTACGTGAGCCAGGCGATTGATGGGTACGACTGATGGTAAAAAATGCCAATTATTCATACTCTGATCTCACTAAACACAATTCACCGCCACGCATGTTGCACTCAGCGTAACTACGAGTTCCAGAAGCGATGTGGTTGGGGACACAAAAGGGATGGCGAAGTTAGCGCGACTAATCATTTCGGCAAGGGTGATGGTTGTCCTTGGGCGCTGTCTGGTTTTCGAGGCGCAACGTATTTGCAAATGTTTATAAGTATTGCTTTGCTCTTGCTCGTAAGCTATTGTCATGGTGACAGTTTGTCTCGCAGCTTCAGTCTCTCGGCATTCTATGTCAGCAACTTTCTTATGACACTGGGTGCTAGTCAAGGCCGTACCCAGGGATGTGTTTGGGGAGGGGCGAATAGTAGACTAATCGGTACTTATTAAGACAATGATTATTAATTGATAATGTAATATCGATTACTTTCTTCCATCAAATAATGTAATGCATAGTATATGCAAAATCACTATTTAGATATTCAGAATTGCATTATACAAAGAGCAATAAAGTTATCTATTGTCAATTTGGGATGAAATTTATGACCTCTTCACTGGCTCCGCCCCAAATGCTAGATCCCTATCTATCGGAAAAATAAGTGTGAGATGACCGGGGTTCACTCCTTTCAAATGTACCTAGCTACTAGTCTACTTACCTTGGCACTTTTTATCATTTCTTTGATTAGTTATTTGTATCAACAACACAGGCCTCAGGGCATGATGGTTTAACAGTCCCTCTGCGATTCGTGTTTACTTTTCTTTCAGTCACCCAGTTCTTACCATCATTATCTTTACTTCGTTTTATACTTATTTAACTCATTTGATATCTTATATTTGCTTTGTAATTTTCGTCACTAGTATCTATCTAAAGGAACTTCAACCTAGCTGCCTTTATATCGCCTTCCCCCGAGATATGACACTTCAGATCATCTATTCAGAAAAAAAAAAATGAATTCCTTAAAAAAATTATCTTTTACCTTACCGCTACCAACTTCATTTCGTTAAATGCCCGCTTACCTCGTTGAATAATTTCCCTTGCCTCCGTTATGTGCTCCGCCCTCATCCACCAGAGGAAACTTGGAATACGAGTTTACACTAGCTCGACAAACCCCAAAGGAGGACTCCAAGATCATTCTCTTTTTATGTAACTTCTTATCCTTCATCACTCCCCTGCCACCTTCCCCTCCGCCCAAAACTAGACACATCCTGCACTCAATCACGTCGGGCAGCGTTGTTCAGAAGAGTCCAGTTTTTGTTGCTGTTAGATTGTACTTGTTTTCATAATTTAAAAAAAAACATCGCTCCCGCTGTCACTATAGTAATTCAGCGAGGATGTCAATATCAGAAAGGGAAATAATTATGATACGGATATCTATATTCTATTTTCCTATGTGAATGATTCATGTTATGAACATTAACATCAATAGTATCAATAATGTCATTGCATTTTTTATCCTTTGTAGTAGGATTAACAGGAATCGTGTGGTGTAGTAATGTCACTGTTAACTATGGTGAGTATGATAATGATAGTAATAATAATAATAATGATATTGGTATATAAGATATCATTTTAAAACTGTTGATAATAATAGCGTTGCTTCAACCCTTCATCCGAAAACACTCGTATCTAAAAGATGAAAATTAAAACTTTGATGATCATATGGACTTTAATTTATTAGAAACATTATACATTAGAAATAGTGTCTTTCTCTGTATCAAACAACTTTTTGCTCTTTCTATATGTTTGTGTGTATTTCCAAACATAGACAAACACACAGACCCACAAGCACGCGCGCGCATATATATATGCATATATATATATATATATATATATATATATATATATATATATATATATATAATATATATATATATATAGTACTAAGCGAGAGAGAGAGAGAGAGAGAGAGAGAGAGAGAGAGAGAGAGAGAGAGATGGATAGATAATAGACATGCATAGATGAGTGTGTGTGCGTGTACATATATACTCGTATGAATGTATTTTTGAATATCTTGTACATAAATATATACACAAATATATACATTTATACATACATGCATATATATATATATATATATATATATATATATATATATATATATGTCTATACAAATACATATGTGTGTGTGTGTGTGCGTGCGGAGAGAGAGAGAGAGAGGAGAGAGAGAGAGAGAGAGGAGAGAGAGAGAGAGAGAGGAGAGAGAGAAGAGAGAGAGAGAGAGAGAGAGAGAGAGAGAGAGAGAGCATAACATACAAGACGAGAATATTCACATCTTAATGCAAAGCTGAATGTAACTGTATAAACGCAAACGGATCTATACTTCTGCTTGTAGTTCGACACCATCGTTTCATTTTCAGTAAAAAGAAGTTTTACCTTCCGGCGCGTGTTATAATGATAAGTAATCTTCACCATGTTTTTGTATGTGCACGTGGTTATCTAATATATACTGACCTTGCAGAAGTAATAATTAGGTGGGATTTTCTATGTCATAAAAAACGCGCGACTGAAGCACCTTTGATTCAATCGTAACACCACGCCACAATCTCCCTGATTGAAATAAATTGATATCTTCCGGTACATTATCGTCAATTAGTTACCCTTGTTTAAGATAAGATGATGGGGTACATAGGGTTCTTGCCCACAATTTGTTGTCCCGTGCTCGTTCATATCGCCATGTGCCACCAATACTCTCCCACTGTGGAACTGCGGGATTTACAAAACTTTCTATTCCCTAATTGGCTGTTTCTTTGTGACGTCATTGATCTAAACGCTATTTATCTACAACGTCACCGATCTGAAGGCAAATCAGCCTCCTATTGGCCAACGCGTCTTTACGCGAGAGCTTCTCCGCTAGGTTGCCAACTGCCGCAGCCGCTCGTCGCTTCAGTGCGCGTTGTGACCTTAGTGCGTGCGGATGTGTTTGGAGTGATGTACACAACGGAGTACTGTGAATGATATTTTTGTGACATACTTATCAAGATGCGCAGAATACAATGTGCAGGTAATGCAAAGTCAATGTGGACAAGGGCGTTATTGAATGAAGTGAATAAAATCACCACGTTATATAGGCATATGCTCATGATATCGATGAAAACAAAACGCGGAATTACACTGTGGTTTCACCTGGCTGTGTCTGCCTCTTTTGAATGAATGGTCTGGACTCTGGATTATACGTTTTCCTCCTCTTCTCTACAGGATTTGTAAGAATCGATACCATCGTAGAGTGTAGACCATTGGCCGTTTTTTTGTGTTGTGAAAGTCGTGTTAGATTCGTAAAGGTTGACATTAACCCTTATGTTTGTTGTCATTTCATTTAGGTTGATTTCAGTAGTTATTATTTTCGTACACAACTGAATAAGTTCCACAATACCAACT